GAGGCAGATGTTGATGTCTTACTGCCAGCGGTCTGACATACTTACATACTTATTATACTGAATGCTGTTCTGTCCAATAAACGAGCTCCATCCAGGTTCAACTAACTCCAGATTTGAAGCCTTCCTCTGTTAAGTTCTGCTTTGTATTTGTGAAGGACAGACACTGAGGGGCGTTAAAGTGTTGATTGATGGCTAACATCTTGGTTAAAACTCACTTTCTCTGTCTTCAAGAACAAAAAGAAAAATCTGGTCACATTTTACTTCTGGGAGGAAATGTTCTCTTTAAAAGGAGACAAATTGCTTTTCCCACATGTCTCATTGTGGCCCAGTTTCACTCCCAGACCCAGAGATTTATTTTTTCTTTTCTTTTTCAAACCTCTCAGATGAAACTATTCTTCCTAAACAATACAGAAATAGCATAATTGTTGTTGTGCAGTGTCTCCTTTTTGAACTACAGAATACAAAACTTAAGAAAAACTAAGAGGAGTCTTCATTTGTTCCTACTTTACTCTGGATTTTCAGAGAAGCTTTTGTTACGAGAGAAACTCTTATCTGTTCTATTTGTTCCTGCATCTTAATGTTGGGAAATTTCATTTTCCATTTCTCCCTACCTATGTAACCCTCCCACTGTGTGTCACTGTTTGTGATTGACTCTCGGGGTGTGTTGTTGTTGTTGAAAAACCTCACAGATTTTCCGACAACCAGAAGCCCTGCTGTTTCCTCTCTGTGCAATCTCAGGTTCACGTAGTTTTAAAATCCCTCACTCGTCAGATTTGAACATTCAGCAGCCAGCTGGTTTCTCCGTGTGAGGCGTGTCCACGGGCCGGCAAGGTGTGTGACGCTAATGTCGAGTGTGTGTTCCTGTGCATTCGTGATCTCTTGTTTCTCGCACACCCTGGTGTCGGTGTTATCCGATTCCCCCGCTGTTTTTGCTCTCAACAGGTTTTTTATCATGCGAGTCCCCTGCTGTCCACACTCTCAGTAGGTTTTCATTATCAGATTCCCCCCGTCGACTCTCTCTGCACGCCTTCCCCTCTCCTCTCTGTTTTCAAGGCTTTCTCTGGACCGTGCATTTTATCGACTGAATGCAACCTAAAGCCTCTAAATGTGTTCACTTCACATTCTGCGCTGGACCTGATCTGAATGTAATGCCGTAACCTCGTCCGTGGGCGATGCTGTGTTGCACAAATTGGTCTGAAACTCCCGCTGTGTGGTGAATCACAGTTGCTTTGTTGCACCTGTTGTAAGTGTAACCAGTGCCACATTCACCCTTGATTTGTGTCAAGCCAGTAGCCAGGTTTCCATCCATGCATACGAGGTGCAATCAAAAGAAAAAGTTCAGAGTGCACCTATAAACAGCAAAACTGACCATTTGAAATCATCCCTTTGTACACAACACACTGCTCCCAGTGCTCTACTGAGCTGTACTCAGATCTTTACTGTTCTGAAAGCACCTCAAGCACAATCTGTGAAACGCATTTAAGCGCTATGAGATGACTTGTTGTTGTAAATATGTGCTATACAAATAAAATTGAATTGAATTGAATTGGATCTCCTTTGTATCAAAACAATGACCTTTCAAGTTGAATTTCATTTTGGGGAAGAGGAAGAAGTCGCAGGGTGCTGGATTTGGCTAGTAGCGCTGTTTGGGGTTTGTTGTTTGTGGTAAATATTTTCTATTAAATGCTTTAGAACCAAAAACACAATTGTAATTCATGTTTCTTAATTGGCAATGATATCAATCAATAACTGATTAGTCATTAACACAAATGAAGTATCGTGGACAAATTGAAACCGCTGCTTTAGGCCACAGACATGCTATTTGTCATTTGGTTCATCAGCCACTTTGGATTTGAGCCACTCACCTTAACCCTTAAGGATCTGGCCACAAGTCATGAAATGCCACAAGAGTCTTTGTCCTGGTGCCCGTTGGTAACTCAACCCCATCATGCTCTCTGTTTGCCAACACGGAGCTGCCTGTAGTCCAAATGACTGCCTCCTTGAGCTGCTGCAGTGCAGCCCAGTCTCACGGCAATTCGTAAAATAGTCACAAAATTTAATCTGTTGTTTCGTGTCCTGGGACACGACTTGCCGACTTTTTCGTGTTCCCCAGCACAAATTTCAAACCAATACATTTCAATTGGATTTATCTTTCATGTCTGGGACACAGACGGCGCATGCTGGGATGTTTTTATCGTTCTTTTCTTCCGACAGTCAGGCATTAACCAGTTTTACTGTTATGGTCTGTCCACACTATTAACTATAGAGATCACTGTACAGATGTGTGGCCCACACTGACCAACGTTCTATAAACACCTACGCTAAGTAGATACCGTGTGCTCCACCTGCTATAAGCTCCGTATTCATTTATAGAAAATACAAGAAATATATCCAGCAGAGAGCAGCTGTTCTGACATCACTCTGAAAGTGATCCCAACGATATGGTTCATAGCTGTTATCGTTTATTTGTGATCAAATATAAATGCTGTCACTGTGTTTGGGCTACATGCTCATCCTTACTTTCATTTCTCTGTAAACGAATACAACTCTGAAAAGAAGGACACATGCAGGAAAACGGCGATGGGAACATGTCCTGTGATCATAGCGATGGATGATCTGACTGTTATAACTGAGAGGCCAGTGGTGGGGAATGTGTCTGTAGATTTGTGCAGCCTTTAGCCCCCTTGTCAAGGCTACAGTCAATTAATACATATTTTCTGATCATTGTAGTCGTTACCTGTAATTTACCAAAACAGGACAAGAGCTATATTGATTTAAACAAATTCTTTACCATTTTTCAATTCTTAATATATACAATTATTTTTTTCAAATGACAACAAATATTATTAGTTTAGGTGAAGGCAGTGGTTCTCAAACTTTCTCTGTCACGCCCCCCTTTGTAAGAGGAAAACATTTCAGGCCTCCCAACCCAACAAAATTATTACAAAATGGGTCAAGTTTACCTTTTATTGCAAAAACACTCTCAATCTAATACAATGCAAATAAGAAAAACAATTTCAACTCCGTCAGACGCATCCTCAAATAAAAATATCACAAAATGTGCAAACAGAAAACTGGTATCATGTTAGTTGAGTTTGAAGCAGATGTTGCTCCATTTCTGTTCACTGATCTGTCATTTAAGGTTTTTGAACCCCAGTAAAATGAGCTCCTGAGTTGTTTTCCGTGTGGTTTCTGTGGCGGGTCACAGTGATTTGAACCATCGTGTAACTCTGCAGCAAAGAGCTCCAGAGAGAAGTGCAGCTGCTGCCTTCCAGCTCCTGTCTACGGTAAAAACGTGCACCTCGGTTTCACTTTTTTCTTCTTTTAATCCACAAAATTCCACAAAGCGTAAAGACTCTTTGTGATATTTAGGCCTCTTTGTTTTTGTTTGTTGTGGGTTTTTTTTTCTGCTCGTAAAACTGATGTGAGGAAACACACTTGACTTGGCTGACTGAAGAAAACAAGCCCCTCTGGGATCAGGAGGAAGTAAAAAACAACAAAACATTGATGTGGAATTCTGCTGTTCTGAGCACAAAGATTAATACAGAGGAACAGGAAAACATTATTTAGAGGACCATTCATTTGAGATGCATCATGGATTTTCTTGGCAGCTTCATTTTTCTGGTACCAGTAGTTAATCTGAGCTTTATTTGGAATGGCAATTAAATGCTGCATTAAATTCCTATTTGTTTTTTTTTTTTTTTTTTTTACAGGAACATAATCAGTAAAAATGTCTCAAGTGTATTGCAGAAATCATCTTTTAAAATTTAGCCCTGTGACAGACTGGTAACCTGTCCAGGGCGTCCCCCTAAGTCAGCTGGGATAGGCTCCAGAACCATCCACAAAATTGTAATCAGCTTCACATCTTTATCAAATTAATAAAAGTTTGATACCTGCTTTTTCACATTCATACATGCTAACAAAAAAAAAGTTTAACCAAATAAAAAGAACTTCATAAATAGATTCAACGTGGTTCACAAGGCTGCTGACACGTATTTATTTGTTAAAATTAACAGGAGGCTCTGGCAGGTTGCTTCATATTCAGTTGATTCTCCTCCTCTGGTTGTACGGGACAACCTGAACGTCCCTCACATGTTTGTCTGAAAGTGAGAGAAACCAGAATTTTATTAGTGCAAAGTACATTTACTCACACACTGTACTTAAGTGTAAAGTCTGAGTAATTGCACTTAAATAAATGTACTTTTTCTCCACTGCAGGTGAAGATTTTTTGCATTTAAAACATTTGAACAGATTCTAAAATAATATGTTGTTAAATGTAAACACACATCAGTCGATTATTAGTTGATTAATAGAAAAGTACGTGGCGACTAGTTTCTCGTACCAAAAATGTCAAACAGTTCATGGTTCTCGCTTCTCAGGTTTGAAGATTTGCTGTTTTTCTTTTTTAATAACTTTTTTATGTTTTGTAAGTAACACAACATTATAAAGGTGTCACTTCAGGCTCTGGGTAATTTTGACGGTATTTCTTTCAGTTTTTATTTCTAATTTTCTGAACCAAATAACTAGCAGATGTGTCTCTAATAATAATATCAAAATACTCATATTAGTTTTTGCCCAAACAAGTTAAACATGAGCTTTATTTCTACCAGCTGCAGCAGCACAATGCAGCTCATGTTATGGCAATTTATTTTCATTGAGTTATCGAGCATTACAATTCCCTGATTATGTTCTTTTACTGGTAACATTTTCTCTGTAAGTAAAAGGTGTGAATACAACCACGGAATGAATAACAATAATTTTTAAAAAACTATAACATAATTACTTAATTGAATATCTCTTCAGTGGATTACGTTTTTCCTTCAAAGCTGAAGAAACGATGAGCTTCTGTAATCACGTCGCTCATGACTGTGGTACTTATACTAATAATGATCCACATCAAAATTGCACAACAATCAACAGCATCGACTCCCGCGGCTCTAAAGCGAGTCTATTAAATGGTGGAATGGCAGCTCCGGTAATTACTATCCCTGCGTACTCACTCCTCTGGACGACCGGCGTCACTCCCATCATGTTGCACAGCTCGATTTCTTTCATCCTGATGGAGAGCTCGCAGATATCGTCCGCCTCGCTCCACGAGGTCAAACCACCGTCCTCACGTGCCGCCACGCTGAAGGCTTTCAGCGGCTGGTAATCGGCCACCCCTACAGGGCTCGAAGTCTTCCAGGCAGCTGGAGGTTCAACCTGCTCTGTGGCTGACATGTGTTGATCAGCGCCGGCAACGAAATTCTTTGTAGAGAAGCTTTTAAACTTTATCTGGTGAGGCTGGGGGTCAAAAAAGGGCCAGATTGCTTTGCTCTCCATCAAGTCGTCGACTGAGGGGAAGTATCTGACATTAGCCATTTTGCTCAGAGTGCATTGTTTTTGTTTGGATTCAAATTGGAGGAAAGCACCAGTTAACTGTTCTGGAACCAGGAGAGGCTGGAGGTTCCACAGCAAGATGCCACACTGTTGGCAAATCCCATGAAAAGACCAAAACCAACAATGAAGTGAGCCGACTAGCAAGTATTGTGTGCATCCAAAGCCTCATTTAGCTTATCCGTCTGTGCCACAGAGCTCCATTGTGATCCAAAAACCACATCACTGAGTCACATTGGTGCACTGTTTCTTCATTACAATACAGATGGGCACCGTAGTTTACTGAGAGATGAGTTCATGAGGGGTATACGGTAAAGAATACAGACCGTATGATAGCTGCAAGTGTGATCACGTTTTACATATTAACCCTTCTGGAAATGATTTTTATCACAG